ATATATATATGAAACTCCGACGAAACAGTTTGTCACAGCCCCTCGTTTGTTGTCCTCTTCTCCCTCTCTGCCTACGGTTTACTGGGCAGTTCTATTTGACGATATATATATATATATGGAGAGAGAGAGAGAGTCTTATCACGGTGTCAAGGAGAATGGCGGAGGCAGAGAGCTGCTCGAGGGAGCGCACAGACAAGGAAGGAGAGACAGAGGGCATCATGACAAGCACAGCGTAATTGCAGACAGCGGCCTTCCTAATTTGGCAAGTACTGAAGTTCAATTTGGAAAGGTAATCACGGACGCCACCTTGGGTGTGATGGGCAGGAAATTAATCAATGGGCTTGAAAACTCTAGAATGGACTTTGGGCTTTGATTACTCTAGAATGGGCTTTGATTACTCCTTGACGGTCCGTGACGAATCGGCAAGATCTGCTAGTCATAGACTACCAGGAAATTTTGATGGGCTTTGATTACTCTAGAATGGGCTTTGCTTACTCTAGAATGGGCTTTGATTACTCTAGAATGGGCTTTGATTACTCTAGAATGGGCTAACTCTTTGTGCTCGCAGAGGCTTAGATCTGCTGCCGTCTTCACCCGAATAGAACGCCCGGTCATTATAGCTGTATTTGGCACAACTTTCAGGCCGGATACGACGATAATGACTGGGCGTTCTATTCGGGTGAAAGACGGTTGTCCAAGACTCCCCGCTGGGCTTCGATTACTGTCTTAAGATTCATTAGCTTGCCCAAACATTTTGAATTATCAATTTTGCCTCGTGGTATGGGGACCAGGGGTGAAGTCCCACCGCCCAAGTTGAGTTTTCTCAACGCTGAGCTTTCTATCACGTGTGGCATGGTGGGACGGAGCTCTGCCGTTGATGTATTAAGAATCTAAGGGTACCGAAATACAGGAGAATAATCTATTAGATTTGGTCATTTTGTAGAATTTTTCTTTGACGTGAAATCCGTTTTGTAGTATGCGTTGGCCCTTTTGGTTTGGGCGGGAAGCCAATTTCCATTGAGAAAACTACCCTGCCGAGGGTAGGGTACATTTCTCAACTTATTTGCCTTTCGTTTTTTTTTTTTTTCCAGATGTCATTACACCCTGAAACGGACGAACTCTGACAGCTGTGTTTGGCTCTCTCGCATCAAACTCTCTTCCTTCTTTGGGCAATGAACGCATCTGGCCATCCATGTTGTCCCTGTCCATTTTACGAATGGTGACCTCCTGCCCCTCACCACGGGAAGTACCCTTTTTTCCACGGAGACATTCACTCCGACTGTGCCAGACGTGTTTCATTTCTCAGAGTTACTTCATCAAAAATAAGGAGAAAAGCTGTTTCTAGCGTTTTTTTTCAGTTTTTTAATTTTTTGTTTCGAATTTATTAATGTCAAAATGGTGTCACACGGTTGCGTTTTTTAAACTAAACTTAGGCCGTGGGACTTCACCCCAGGGGGTCACTGTCAGTCTGTCAAGAATCATTAATTATTTTCAAAAAAAATATTTTGCGAACTAAAATATGAATTTAAATTCCTAAAGTTATTATGCTATCTTTAACTTAGTCCTAATTTTTCAGATTTTAACGAATCATCACAGTAACTCTTATGGGCTTCCCCACTCAGTATATCTCTTATTTAAAAAGTTATTTTTCCTTTCTTTTCCCTTGATTTAGGCGTCTCATCTGTGTGCAGCGACCAATTGGAATGATACTGTGACGCGCGTGTGGAGGGCACGTGCGGAGATAGTGAGAGAGAGGAGAGAGAGAGAGAGGAGATGGACACACACATGAAGCAACAGCTGAGTGGAGGTCCAGTCCGGCTCAATGAACGAACGAACAACTGAATGAATGAACCTGCCGCCCTGGACCTAGGCCGAAGTGATATACCGGCCTGGGTCCAGTAGCGGAATAACCTGGTACCGGACCAGGGTCAGGCCGGCGGCCTGAAACTGGTCCGGCCTCAYTGCCRGGCCGGAGGGATACCGCTCCACGATCCTCGRACCTGTAAGTGGATCCAGAGATACATCAAAACACGCTATCCGCTGAAAGAGCGGGAACCCAAAAGGAACGGCCAAAGAAAAACAATCCTAAATGCGGARCAAGCTCCATGCAGGAAAAAGGGATGCAATGTGGACTAAGCCTCAAGCCTAATCTATACAACAATGTCTGGTCTGAGTCGACCCAAAAAGCAGAAAAAATGTCTGACCTGTGTCGGCCAAGAAAGAGAAAAAATGTCTCATGAGCCAAGTAGGCTGAATATAACTCAACATCAGGGCCCTAAAGGCCAAAGAATAGCTAAGCCAATGTCCTATGTCGAAAAGAATGTGGCACAATCTCACGTGCCCTRTGCACAATGCACAATGCCTGAACAGAAGAGRAAGGAACTCAGYCGCATGGCAAAGGTAGGAATAGGTGGGAAGGCGGTAGGTACAGCTCTTAGAGTAAACTCCAAGGGGGCACCCACACAACCAGGTAGGGGACATCAGGCTCAGGGAGGGAGCAACAGCACGACACCGGGCTCAATGGAAACCATCCAACGGGCACCGCCAGCTGAAAGGGGAATGACCCTCACACAAGGGAGCACGCATAAGGTCAGCCTGGCAGGAGAGAGGACTATGCTGGCATAGGCATGTAGCCCAAGAGCCGCGAGCAAAGAAAACGTACACTCCAGAGGAGGGCGCGCAGCATAAGATACGACAGAAGGGCGGCAAGCGGACACACCCACATAGAGAGGGGAAACAGGGGTCATCATGCGACCGGAGGGTAAGGATACAGGGGATGATGAGAACTCTGTAGCCGAAGAAGTGAAGTAGTCCAACTGATGAGTCTCCAGACTGAAGTCGAATCGAAGTAGCCAGGATGAAGTAGGAGTAATGTCGAAAACCAAGTAGACGTCCGGAACAATGCGACATGTACTCTGGTACTGGATAAAAGCACCGAGGTCAAAAGTCGAATGTAGAAGCTAAATGTGGAAGCCGAATGTAGAGGCCGAAACCGGGAGCTGCTGCATAAGTGTCCAGGAATGGTAAAAGATAGAGAGCGTTGGGGGATATAGATCAGTCACGAAAACGAGAAGGAAGTCGATGGGTACGCTGAGGGCGAGAGGAATGAACTGCAACAACAGGCGGAACCACATCCATAGGGGGAGGAGGACCTGAGGCGGGTACCGGTGGAGCAGGAGGACCCATWGATGGAGGAGGGGGAATGTTAGTGGTCGCAGAGGTAGAAGGGTCAGTAGTAGAAGGATGAGGAGTAGGGGGGGAGGATGATGAAGGGAAAGGATGAGCACGATCGTAAGCACGCACGAAAGTCATAGCATGCTTCAGGTGCTCAAGAGGCTCCCAAGTAGACTCCTCGTCAGGATAACCCTTCCATCGAACGAGATACTCGAGGCGGGGGGGGCTTAGGGCTGTCTCTTATACACATCTAGATGTGTATAAGAGACAGCATCATGTAGGTTAGCGCGATACATGGAATCGGGGAGCTTCAATTTGAAGCTCACTGGACAGTCATGATTGGGTCCGGCGGGTGCGAGAATGGTGCATGGTCCGATATATCGACGTCTGAATTTTCGAAGCGTGTCGGCTTCGGGCTGGAAGTGACGTGCATCGACAAAGACCTCATCACCAACTTTGAAGGGATGGTCAATGCGTGAGCGGTTGGCGTGGGTCGCCATGCGAGTCTGGGAGTGAGCAATGCTCTCTCGAGCCTTGCTAAGAAGCGCATCCATCTCCTTTACCCACTCATCGAGAGCTGGGCATTTGGTGTCAGGGTGAATTTGAGATGGACGGAGGAGATCAGATGGGACACGGGGGTGATATCCCAGGTCACAGTAGTAGGGGGACATGCCGGAGGCGGGAGAAATAGCGTGGTTATAAGCGATCTCTGCATGAGCAAGATGAAGATCCCAATCAGAGTCATTCTCAACAAACTTTTTGAGGATAGTCCCAAGAGTTTTGTTGGTGACCTCAGTCTGTCCGTCTGACTGGGGGTGGTAGGAGGAGGAAAGGCGAAGCTCGGATCAATAAGTCTCATGGAGTCCACGCCAGAAATGAGAACTGAAGCGGGGATCGCGATCAGAGACAATGCTAGTGGGGAGACCATGATGAATGGCAATACGGTTTAAGTACAGAGTGGCGATGTCTTTGGTTGAACTAGCATACTTGCAGGGGAGGAAGTGAGCATGCTTAGTCAATCGGCCGACAACAACAAAGATGGCATCGTGGCCTCGTGGGGTAGGGGGACGAAGTGGGCCGATGAAGTCCATAGAGACGGAGGTCCAACGTTGGGTGGGAATGGGTAAGGGCTGAAGAAGGCCGTAGGGAGGGTGGTTGGGAATGCTGGCCTCCTGGCAGGTCCTGCAGGTGCGAACGTACTCTGTCGTGAAAGGACGGCGGTGCTCCCAGTAGTAATGTCGGTAGAGTCGGTCAAGGGTCTTGAGGATACCGAGATGACCGGCAGCACGCTGATCGTGACACTCAGCGACAGCTCGAACACGAAGCTGGCCGATAGATGGGATACATAAGCGGGGAGTACGGTAACCTTGGCGACCAAGCCAATATAGGAGTCCAGARGGGTCGAGCTGGAAGTTAGGGRCAGTCTTGCCGGCCTGTAAGTCAGCGTRGATGGACTGAAACTCGGAGCACTGGGGGTATGCCGACCGATACTCATCTAGGAAAGCGGGGTGGATGATGGGGAATGAAATGGCAGAGAGCTGGCGATCATCGCACTGAAGATCGGGGCGGCGAGATAAGGCATCAGCCACGCGATTGCTTTCCCCAGTAATCTTCTTGATGGTAAAGTCGAACTCTGCGAGATCACGCCACCAACGAGCCTAGCGAGGGGTAAGCTTCGGCTTCGTCTGGAAAGCGGGGAGGACAGAGTTGTCCGTCAGGACGGTGAATGTGTGACCGTGTAAGTGATGACGCCACTTCTTAACAGCGTAAACCAGCGCGAGGACCTCACGCTCGTCAGCAGTGTAGTTACGCTCAGCAGGATGTAGCTGTCGAGATAGATAAGCAACCAGGCACTCTCCATCGCGAGACTCGACTGTGCCGTCATCAGCGACGTCAGGGGTGTAGGGAGGTGGAGCCCCTGAGGGGGTGGGCTCGATAGGTGCAAGTCGAGCCGCAGTCGCTGGGGGTGGGCGGGGAAAGCGAGGAATGCGAGCGAGACGAGACTCTGTGGGGTCGGGAGAAGTAGAAGGGCCTGGGTAAATCTGGGAGAGGACAGCTCCTATGGCAAAGTCGGACGCGTCGGTGGTGACGATGAATGGGCAGGAGTAGTCGGGTAGGTGTAGGACAGGGGCTGACGTGACAAGTCGCTTCAGAGAGCGAAAGGCATCCTCATGAGCTGGGGTCCAATGGAAGGGTAGACGTCCGCGGGTCAGAGGAGTCAGCTGTGAAGAGTACTGCGCGTAGTTTTTAAGAAAATGACCGTAGTAGTTGGTCAACCCCAGGAAACTACGTAGCGCAGGAAGAGAAGTAAGTGTAGGCCAATCGACGATAGCCTGGATCTTCGAGTCGTCCATGTGGAGTCCATGCTCGGAGACCTGATGTCCTAGAAAGTCGACCTTGGATTGAGCGAAGGCGCATTTGGAGAGCTTCGCATAGAATCCGTGGTCGCGTAATCGCTGGAGGACAGTGCGGAGGTGGGTCATATGCTCCTCTAAGGTACGACTGTAGATCAGAATGTCATCAATGTAGACTAGAACAAAGTCCTCGAGAAGGTCCTGGAACATCGTGTTCATAGCCATCTGGAAGGTGGCAGGACCGTTACGGAGGCCGAAAGGCATGACAGTGAACTCGTAGTGTCCAAATCGAGAGCGAAACGCGGTCTTGTGCTGGTCCTCCTTGGCCACGCGGATCTGGTGGTATCCGCTGCGAAGATCAATCTTCGTAAAAAAATGGTGGCCAGCGAGACGGTCGAACAGGTCATCTGC